CAACACGCAGCGCGCAAGCTCGTCCGCCTGCGCCGCAAGAACCGCTGGGCAGACAAGGGCTGGAAGAAGGCCCACACTTTTGTGGCGCAGAAGGCCAACCCCTTCGGTGGCTCCTCCCACGCCAAGGGCATCGTGCTGGAGAAGATCGGTGTCGGGGCGAAGCAGCCCAACTCCGCCATTCGTAAGTGCGTTCGCGTGCAGCTGATCAAGAACGACAAGAAGATCATTGCCTTCGTGCCGAACGACGGTTGCCTGCACTTCATTGAGGAGAACGACGAGGTGCTGGTGTCTGGGTTCGGCCGTTCCGGCCACGCCGTCGGTGATATTCCCGGGGTGCGTTTCAAGATCGTGAAGGTCTCAAACGTCGGTCTGTACGCCCTCTACCGCCAGAAGAAGGAGAAGCCGCGCAGCTAGAGCGCGGTGCGCCCCCGTGAGCAACAGCCACCCCAGCAGCAGCAGCGGAAGATTCTTGGCGGACAGAAAATGACCCCCAACAGGTTTCACCATTTTTTTTTCTCTTTATTTGAGTGTGTTATTTTTGGTTGCGTTCCAAAGCAACTGATACGAATAAGAAAAAATTCGGAGCTTTGGGGGGAGACGTGGCAGCTTCCTCCAGCCACCGCTGCTTTGGTGGCGATGTGCGTGTGCGCGCGCGGCCTGGAGGCCGGTGGTGCGCACTTCCCCCCACCTCCTCTTTTGGGCAGCCTCCACACACGTGGAAGAGGAAGCGTAGTAGTGGCGTATCGGCTTGTTTGAGTTTTTTCCTTTTCTTTTTTGTTGTTGTTGCGGCGTGAGCATTTCCCACGCGTGCGGAGGTGAAGGTAGCGAGAAACAAGAAAAGTGACGGCTGTTTAGGGCTGGGAGTTAGAGAGACTTCTTTCACCAGGATATTGAACCGTTGCGCTTTTTCAACGTGCGAGTGCGTGACTTTGTGTGGACGTTCATACGAGGCGGAGGTGTGTGGGCGGAGGCAGGCGGCCATAGGAAGCGAGAGCGAGAATATTTGGGGAGGGAACAGCAACACCTACAACCGCAGAGGTAAAGAGGAAAGTAGTTAGCCCAGAGATTCATTCAATGAGCTCGCGCTACGAGCGACAGGAGAAGATTGGCGAGGGGACGTATGGCGTGGTGTTCAGGGCCCGCGACACTGCCACCGGCGCCACGGTTGCCCTGAAGCGGATTCGGCTTGACACGGAGGAGGAGGGGGTGCCGTGTACCGCCATTCGCGAGATCTCGCTACTAAAAGAGCTCCGGCATCCGAACATTGTAAAGCTGCTCGACGTCTGCCATAGCGAGAATCGCCTCACCCTGGTGTTTGAGTACATGGAGCTTGACCTGAAGAAGTACATGGATCGGGAGGGGGGAAACCTGGACGCGGCCACCATTCAGGACTTCATGCGAGACCTGCTTAATGGCGTGCACTTTTGCCACGATCGAAATGTCCTGCACCGGGACCTCAAGCCGCCGAATTTGCTCATCTCCCGTGAGAAGACTGTGAAGCTGGCGGACTTTGGTCTGGGGCGTGCGTTTGGCATTCCCGTGAAGAAGTTCACGCACGAGGTGGTGACGCTCTGGTACCGCTCCCCGGATGTGCTGCTCGGCTCCACACAGTACGGCACGCCTGTGGACATATGGTCCGTCGGGTGCATCTTTGCGGAAATGGCCATTGGCGCCCCCCTCTTCGCCGGGAAAAATGATGCAGATCAGTTGCTGCGCATTTTTCGTTTTCTGGGGACGCCAAACAGCCAGGTTTGGCCCTCCATGAACCAGTACCCAAACTCGACCAACATGCTGTCGAAGCCCGAGTTTCTGCAGAACCTCGCGGCGGAGTGCGAGCAGCAGTTTCGCACCGTGCCCGCGTACGCCAAGCTCGGCCCAGAGGGCGTCGACCTCCTCCGCCGCCTGCTGAAGTACGAGCCCAGCGAGCGCTTAACTGCCGCCCAGGCGCTGGAGCACCCGTACTTCTCCCTGGAGTTTTGAGCCGTCGGGGAGGGAAGCACGCCGTCCTCGCCGGCGCTGCCCAGACGAATAAAAAAAAAAAAAGCTGCAGGGGCAGGGGGGTTGCAGCCGGGGGGCCCCGAGCCACGAAAGAAACAACGCAAAAAAAAAATAGTTCAAACGTTAAGGGCACTAAATATCCATGGTGAGAACACACACATACAAAAAAAAATAAAACAATATCCACTTCTCGCTTGCACGGCACCTTTGGACAGACGTGGAGCACGTCGTCCTCTCCCTCAGCTCATGACTGGGCGGCGTCGGCGGTTAAGGAAACTTTGTTTTGTGCCTGTCTCCGGGTTTGTCCGTGGGTTGGGAGACTGCCTCTTCTTTAGTTGAATTCTGCATATATATATATATATATATATATATATGTATGCATTGTAGACATACATGCGTGCGTGCGTATGCGTAAGTTTTACAGACCATACACCGCGTGCACGCAACTGTGGCTCGCCGCGCTGGTGTAACATGTCCCTACCACCTTGGCGGAGGCAACGCGATGCGGCCAAGGAGGGGGAGAAGCATGAGGAGGCCATGTTGTGCCCATCGGTTATTTTGTTATTCTCTCTTTTTCTGCTTCTTTTATTACTTTCCCCCTTCTCTCCCTTTCCTTTGTACGTGGCCGCGCCGGCCGCGCAGATTCAGTTCTGCTTGCACATTTACAAGTAACCAACAAAGCACCACAGACGCACTGGCGGTCCGGGAGGAGGCAAACGAGGCATCAGCGACGAGGGCAGGCAAACAGAGATATTAATTTTAACATTGAAGGAAGCGCGTGAGGGACGTCATGCAGGTGGCGAGGCGGGGAAACGAGAACAAGAAGGACACCAACACCCAGACGGATGTGCGCCTCAGCAACATCACGTCGGCGAAGGCGGTGTCGGACTGCGTGCGCACCTCCCTCGGCCCACGCGGCATGGACAAGATGATTGTGGAGCCACGCGGCGAGGTGCTCATCAGCAATGACGGCGCCACTATCCTGTCGAAGCTGCAGGTGACGCACCCCTGCGCCAAGATGCTGGTGGAGCTCTCCAAGGCGCAGGACGTGGAGGCGGGGGACGGCACGACAAGCGTCGTGGTGCTCTGCGGCGCCCTCCTCCGCGCCGTGGAGGAGCTGCTGATGAAGGGCATTCATCCCACGCAGATTTCGGAGTGCTTCAACGAGTGTGCCAAGATGGCGGAGAGGATTCTCGAGGAGATGAGCGTGAAGATCAAGATTGAGGACCGTGAGACGCTGATCAAGGCGGCGATCACGTCCCTGAACTCCAAGGTTATCGCGCAAAACAGCGACTTGCTAGCGCCCATGGCCGTGGATGCCGTGCGGCGGATTATGCGCGAAAACGGGGACGTGGATCTGCGTGACGTGCGCATTGTCACTGCGCTTGGCGGTACCATAGACGACTCTGCGCTGCTCACCAACGGCATGGTGTTCAAGCAGAAGGCGTCGCACGTAGCCGGGGGGCCGGTGCGCATCACAAACGCGACAATAGCTCTCATTCAGTTCCAGCTGTCGGCGCCCAAGACGGACATGGAGAGCGCTGTGACGATTAACGACTACAGTCAGATGGACCGGGCACTGAAGGAGGAGCGCAAGTACCTGCTGACTCTCTGCAAGAAGATCAAGGACGCCGGGGTGAATGTGTTGCTCGTGCAGAAGTCTGTCCTCCGCGACGCGGTGACGGTGCAGAGCCTCGACTTCCTCGCCAAGATGAAAATTATGGTGGTGAAGGACATTGAGCGCAACGACATTGAATTCGTCACGAAGACGCTCGGCTGCCTCCCCGTGGCGAACATAGAGAATCTGAGGCCGGAGAAGTTTGGCCGCGCCGAGCTCGTCGTGGAGGAAAATACGCCCAGCGGTAAGATCATTCGCGTCACGGGGGTGCAGCCGCCGACAAACATGATTGGCCGTCAACTCTTTGGCAAGACGGTCACCTTCTTCCTCCGTGGCAGCAACAACATGATACTGGAGGAGGGCGAGCGGGCCCTGCACGACTCGCTCTGCGTCATTCGCTCCATTGTGAAGAAGCAGGCCATAATTCCTGGCGGCGCCGCCGGTGAGACGGAGGTCTGCCTGCAGCTCAGCAAGTACGCCCGGGAGCGGGCGCAGGGCACTCAGACCTTCTGCATGCGCGCCTTTGCGGATGCGTTTGAGGTCATTCCCTACACGCTTGCCGAGAACGCCGGGCTGCAGCCGATCTCCATCGTCACCGAGCTCCGCAACGCGCATGCGCGGGGCAACAAGAACGCGGGGGTGAACGTGCGCAAGGGCTGCGTGACGGACATGGTGGAGGAGAGTGTTGTGCAGCCGCTCCTCGTCTCCACCTCCTCCGTGCGTCTGGCGGCGGAGTGCGTGATGATGATCCTGAAGATTGACGACATCATCATGACCCGCGCGTAAAGGAAAAAAAAAAGAAAAGGGCGCGTGTACGGGTGCGCCATGGCGGTCCTGCGCTCGCGCGCGGGAAACGCTGCCTTGGGGAGCTCGGAATGAGGCGAGACGTAACGGAGGCGGCGGGAAGAAAGCAGGCGAACAAAGAAGTAAAAGCAAGAAGAAGAAAGCAAGAACAAAGCAACGAGGGAAACAAACTGAAGACAAATACAGCAAAGGAGGAAGAGGTGGGGAGTAAAAAAAAAAAACAAGATGCGGAGGAGAAAGGAAGAAAAGGGATATGCATGAATGCATGAGCAACAGCATCAGCCGGCTCAGCAGCAACGCAAACGCAGTGGAGGAGGAGGAGAGAAAAAAAAAAGGCGCCAGAGAGAGAAAAAAAAAGTGATGGGATTCAGTGGAAGGGGTGGTGGCCAACTTCAGTGGCTCTCGCCCGCTTGCGCGCTCTCCCTCCCTCTGATAAGCAGTAAAACACATATTTATTACATTCATGGCCTTCCGTGTGGATGCAGCGACACAGACACACAAGGACACACCTGCGTTTGTGTGTGTGTGTATTTTGTCACTTCTTGCGTGCGCGTGTGTTGGATTGGCCGTTGCCGGGCCCCTCCACTGCTTCTCTTCCCACTTTTTTTTCTGCTGCTGCTTCTTCGTTGCGTGGGTGGCGTGCGTTGGCGCAAAGGAGGCAAATATTGAGTGCGAGAAAGGCTGAAAATCAACACCGCAAGAAAAGCAATAAACAGGCAAAAACAACTGGCAAGTAACGGCAAGAGGTCTCTTCGGAATGGCACGCTTTGGGCTCTGTGCACTTCTTGCCCTCTTGGCCGCCGCCACGCTGGCGACGGCGATGGTGGAGGCCCTCTACGCCGCGCCCGTTGGACAACTGCGTGAGACGGGCTCCGGGTGGCGTCCCTGCGACCCGAACGTGCCGCAGTGGAGCGGCTACTTCGACATCCCCGGCAAGGATGGCGACAAGCACTACTTTTACTGGGCCTTTGGTCCCCGCAACAAGAACCCAAACGCCCCTGTGCTCCTGTGGATGACGGGGGGCCCGGGCTGCAGCTCCATGCTGGCGCTGCTCGTGGAGAATGGGCCCTGCTGGGTGAACGAGACCACCGGCGACCTCGACAACAACAAGTACTCGTGGAACAATGAGGCGTATGTGATCTACGTTGATCAGCCTGCGGGTGTGGGGTTCTCCTACGCCGAAAAGGCCGACTACGACAAAGACGAGATGGGGGTTTCGGAGGACATGTACCACTTTCTCCAGGCCTTCTTCACGGCTCACAAGGAGCTGCGTAATAATGAATTCTTTGTTGTGGGAGAAAGCTACGGTGGACACTACGCCCCTGCTACGGCACACCGCGTTAACCAGGGCAACCGCAACCACGATGGCCTTCCCATCCGCCTTGCAGGCCTCGCCGTCGGCAACGGCCTCACGGACCCATACACGCAGTACGCCGCCTACCCGGCGTTGGCGTGGGACTGGTGCCAGAAGGTGCTTGGAAAGCCCTGCGTCTCTCAAGACGCCTACGGCCTGATGCAGGGTATGGTGCCGACATGCCAAAAGTCCATTGAAGTGTGTAACTCCGGCAACAACATTCTCGCGAATGCGTCCTGCTTCATTGGACGCTTGCTGTGCAATCCCATCGTTGGGATTTACAGCGTCACGGGACGCAATGTCTACGACATCCGCAAACAGTGTGTTGGAACCCTTTGCTACAACTTTGAGGCCGTGGACAAGTTCATGAACCGGCAAGATGTGCAGAAGTCGCTTGGGGCGGACGCCCGGAAGTGGAACTCGTGCAACACCGAAGTCAACCTCATGTTTGCGATTGATTGGTTCAAGAACTTCAACTACACCGTGCCGGCGCTTCTGGCCGACGGCGTTCGCGTGATGGTTTACGCAGGCGACATGGATTTTATCTGCAACTGGATTGGCAACAAGAACTGGACGACGGCGCTGCACTGGCCTGGCCAAGAGGCGTTCAATGCAGCCGCGGACAAACCCTTCGCGAACCCCGACGGCTCTCCGGCGGGACTTGTGCGCACCGCCGCCGCGCCGTCGACGGCGGCCTTCAGCTTCGTTCAGGTGTACAACGCGGGGCACATGGTGCCGATGGATCAGCCGGCCGCTGCCTCAGTGATGATCAACAAGTTCATGCAGAACGCGCCGTTTAACTGAGGTTTACCTCGCCCGTGCATAGGAATGCGTCTTACAGCAACGGAATGGGCCAAGAAGAAAAGAACAAAAAGAATGCAAGCGAGAAGTAGCAAACGAGGGGGGGGGGGAGTAAGTAGAGGACAGTGAATGAAGGAGGACTGTTGTAATACAAGCGAGCTTTTTTTTTCAATTTCGGTTTTTTTTTTCTTTACTGGGATGCGCGTGTGCGTAAGAAAGTTTGAGAAGTTTTTTTTTCTTTTGGTAAACACAAAAGCTCACACAAATGTGCGGAACTCAACACGATGAAAGTGCACCTTGCAGTGTAAGCCAGCAAAGAGGGAGATGCGAAGCATACACGCAGAAAACAAACCAAAGGCGGAAGGAACGTTGGCAGAGATGTTATGAATTCGCTGTGTGTCTTCCAACGCCCCATGACTCGCACGGTCATGTGTGCGTGTGCGTGTGCGTGTGCGTGTGCGTGAGCCGAATTTGGTTACCTCTTCTTTTCCTTCCCTCACTACAGCGCTTGCGATAGTTGACGCCATGCATTTTAGAGCGCGGCGCCGCCGCATCTTCTTCTTTTTATACTGTTTTTATCATCGTACCCTTTTCTTTATTCCTTTCTTTTCTCTTAGCACCCACTCAACGCCAAGGAATAGAAGCTTGTGACGAGCGAGCACTCGACGCAGTTATCCCTGGCTGACCTGCGGCGCCGGCGCCCCCCTCTCTCTCCTCCTCTCTCCCTTTCGGGGGCGCGCGCGCGAGCGTGCGGTTGCCTGCGGCGATGATGTCTGTGAAGTTTCACTCTTGTCGGAGTTCAAACCCGTGACGACGCTTGTCCGCGCGACACCCGGTGCTGACGCCCCACCCCGCCTCTCGCCCCTTCCCGGCGGTGCCTCCCGCGCGAGAGCGTGGGCGAGCGCCGGCCGCGCCAGCGCGACGCGTGATGACCGCGAGGTAAGAGC